CATTTCGTTATCGGAGACTTCTAGTTAGATAATTGTCAGATGCTCAAATTGAATTATCCATAAGATAATATTCTTCAATTTACTGTTATTCGGAAAATTGTTTTAACGTTATGATCGAAATCGTTTCCGGGGTCTAAAAACGAAGTTCGTAACAACAATAACCTTACTCGCTTCACGTAATAGGGGAACTCTATTAGGCGCTATTATAGTACCATGCTCCCTTCGATCTATCTCCTTCTCGTTCCCTCCATCCCCCTCTCTCTCTCTCTCTCTCCCTCTCTTCGTACTCAACTTTGGAATTCCACAGAGCACGTGGCCCAAATCTTTTATGCCAGAGTTTCCAAGGGAACTCGCGCGCCATTTGCTCACATCGCGGCTGACATCTTTAACTTGCGAAATGGAATCTTCTGTCTCCCTTTCCTCCTTTGACCCAACGACTATTGGAACGGATAATTGCGAACTACGATTGTTCCTAACGTAGATACGCAGGCAGACGTTGCAAGGACGTTGGTGCGCAAAACGAATAAGTGGAAGAGATTTACGACTTGCGGGAACAACGAACAACAAACTTGTCCCGCGAAAGAAACGTCGCTTGAGTTAGTAGAGAATGTCTTCGAATCTCAAATCCGTTCCGTTTGTCTTCTTGCTTACATCTTGTTCCGCAAAGTTGTCTAGCCTATCTTTCAAACACGATTCTTTCTTTTATATCTTGCTCTCGTATGTTAGCAGAGATACTTTTTTATGTGGGGACTATTGCAATATATATAATTATTATAATATGTGAAAGAAGTAATATAAATTAAATAATGATAAATAAATTAACATATGTGCTTAGTTTTTTTTTAGAGAGCCTTTCTTATCGTATTCAATCTATACTATCTGTATTGTTATAAAAAAATTGTTAATATTACGAGATATGTGTATATGAATTAGTAAGGATGCTGCTTGATAATTATTAAAGAATTTTGTTATTTATCAGCAATCTTTTTAAATTTTTATAATAATATTATTATTTTCTTTTACTATAAATTAATGAGGATGTTGCTTGATATAATTATTAAAGAATTCTGTTAAATATTATTTAAAACATTAAAAAATTTTTGTAATATTTCCTCTCATTTGAAAGCGATTTTTAAATATAATAATTTTCTGTACTATAATTTTCACTACCACACACCTTTTCTTTATTATGCCGCAACTTCTTGCGTTTAACGAGCAGCTCTAATAAGCAACCTCGTGATAATTAACGCATAACTATGTTTTCCATGGATCATATCCTCGTTTAATGATCCTTACAAACGTCGATAGCGTTTCTGCTTCCGAAAGAATCTTCTTTCTACATCGTTCTTCCTCTTGCCAATCTACTTAAGGATGCACTGGGTTAGGTGGATCTTTTAAATCAGGATTTCTGAGATCGAGCACGTGGCTTACTCGCATCGCGAACAGCGCACTCAAATCTCACAATAGTACCGCGTTCTTTGAACCCGACGATCAACGAGACTCACAAGGTACTATTTTCCGGGAAACTCCTGCATAAGAATGTAACGAAATAGAAGATAAAAGAGAGGATATCTATTATGCTGTAACATAAAATCCTTTGTGAGTCGTTTAATGAAAGTGCATTGTGTAATAATATAAGTGCGTAACAATTAAAACGTTTCAAATGATCACGAGATAAAGTAGAACGATTACAAGATAGAGTTAAAAATTAAATTAGAGGGATAAGTTAATTAAGGCAAATGAAGAGATTCGAAGAATGACCCAAAAAAAAAATAAAATAAAAAGGAGTTATGTAATCATGAATCGTGATATTCAACGTTATGGAAGATGAAATGTGAAATTATGTCGGAACTGTCACGATGAAATATGAGATATCAGAACTCTTCGAATTAATTAGAAACTTTATGTACGAAGAAAACACAGAAACAGAAAGAAAGAGCAGAAAAGATGCATTTATTACCGTCTCTAGATAGAGACCTCTTTTGAAGTCGGGGGAAAAAGCAATAAGAGTCGTTAATGTTATGAGAGAGGTTTAATTTAGCTTGTATTTAAAATATTAAGCAAAAAATCGATAATATTCAGTCGCGCTTTCCTAAAATTATGGATTTTGTGATCAGAATGAATTTTTGTGTTGTCATGAAAATTTAATGATTGCTTTTTTTTTCAGCCATTTAATTATCGATATTGTGCACCCGGATAAACAAGCCGGATAAATTGAAATTCTTTCAAAGGGCAAAGTTTGTTTAAAATTCATTAGAGGATAATGTAACGTTATTTACTAATAGCTCCGAAGCTTGTCTTTGGTATTAAAATTCATTACTTTTGAGACACACTAGAACGTAATGTTCTTCTGAAAAGAAACTGCAATGCGATTGATCGAAGAGAGGACAACGAGAGTGCGTAACTAGTCGAAGGGCGTCTCCGAAATCGATCGTTGGCGAATCGCGTGATTCCCACTTCATTCCTTTCAGAGGCGATGCCCATTTCCTTCGATCGACCTTCCATCATGGCCTCGGGAATCTTTCGATCTGTCGAATCTGGGTCGCCACGTCGTGTTCTATCTCTTCGTTTCCTCACGAGTCGGGCGAGAATGGCGCCCGATTGTCTCAAGCAATTCGGAAACAAACGTAGGTGCGCCGATGATTATACGTCGGCAAAGTTAACGGACGTGGGTTTCGCCTCTTTGAAGAGGAGGGGGTAGACACGACGTGGGGCTCGGCGATTATCGAGGAACGTGAATGGGTAACACGTGAGCAGTTTGCAAATCTGTACGTCGCCGATTGCGAGACTTCTGTGATTCCACCGACGATTTTTTGCTTCACGCCGAGACGTGTCTGGAGTGGCGAAGTACGCTCTTAATCTGGGTCTCCGATACGTTAATGGCGGCAGACAGGGGTCGATAACGATCGAGAACATGATGGATGCGAATATTCCCGTGGTACCCGCTTCAATATTTCTGAGCTAATGTTTCAAAGTGATTTAGGCAAATTATTGTAACAAATGTTTAAGCATATGCGTTTTTACAATATCTATTTTAGTTTATTAATATAAATAATTATTAATTTTTTCCTATTTCTTTTAATAGTAATAGATAAAAATTACATTTAATATAAAAAAAACTATTAAAATATATATTCTGTTTTGTATTGAATTTAATTTAATTTAATTTATCGAGTACGAACAAATTTTATATATGAAGGTTTCTTGAAGATGAAAATGTGTGAATATATATGAATCTATAAGGTAATTGTATCAGTTGGTAACCTAATTATTATATGAAATGACAAAAAATTTAAATAGTAAGCTTTTAATACGATTTTGTAAATAAAATCGTTATTTACAAAAATTAAAATAAGACGAACTTATTTAGAGTTAAAAGTGTCATTAAAAGCTTAATATTTAAGATTCTTATCATTTCGCTAACTGATACATTTATCTTATTTATGTATATGTTACGATATACTATCCTAAAAATTAAAAAATTTTTTAAAATGTTAATTTTTTACATCTTCGATGAAAGATATCTCAATTTCTCATTTCATCAGTGTATGCCTTCATATATTTATAATTCAGTCATGCGCAATCTATGGCTCATCTGTGAATTTTTTGCCCGCTGGCGCCTCAGCATAAAATCATATTTTCTATTTTATGCAAGCGAAATAAGCATTATCGCCAAGATATTTCTTCTTTCTGAAAGTAACCTTTAAAAAAAATTGCTGTTCCAGTTTATGTTTTATCTCATTATAATAAATGAGCAAAATCAATCGATTAAGGATTAAAGAAGATAGTCTGCCATCACTTGAAAACATCAGCGTCGATACAGAAATTGCCTTGATTACAAACTTGCAAATTCGGCTGACAATAACTGCGTGCTTCTCATTTTTATTCCTACCACTCGCGTCAATGAGTGACATTTTTTTTTGGAACGGATCGGTTAACGAGCCCGCGTATGGTCAGTTCCCAATCAGGCGCGATTGTCCCGCAATGTGTAAGTGGCTTGCTTGTGTAAAAGCAACCCCAAGTTTGGCGCGGTTGGGCACGTGTACGTTTCGCGGGCAACCGCGACAGGCGGACGACGGGACATTGCCGTTTGCATTTGGTATATGACCCGACCACCCTCGATGGCCGCCTTTCTTCTCGGGGGGTGAATCGTGTATGCCCGCAGCGCGACCGCAGATGATTGGCGCGCGCCAAGAGCAATCGACCCCCTCGCGAACTTAGGGGTGCCGAAAGGCTTAAGTCACCCTGGGTGGTCGTAAATATAAATCGAATCCGAAGTTTAATAGCGGAATTATTAAAAGTCATACGTGACGAGAAAAATGCTTCACACACACATATAAAATATATATTTATATTTATATTCAATCTCATGAAAATGTACCGAGAAAAAGATGCTTAAAAATTTATTTGTGAGAAATATATTTACTTCGCTGAAATGGATTTTGATTTTAAACGAAATAAAATTTTATTTCTAACAAATAAGTCATCTGTTTTTATATTTTTACATTAATAAAATATATTTCACGGGAATATATATTTCGTCATGACAATAAAATTTTTTCGTAACGAATAAATATCGAAGAAAACGTCACAAGTAACATTTGCTTCGTGATACTTTGATGTTTTTCTCTTGATGTATCTTCTTCTATAAAAAAAGTGTTATCGGAATTACATTAGTAATAAAAATTAATGTGCTTTCCTCTTTATTTTTCTAAAGTTTATAAAAATGACTTACAATGGTTTGCCAATGGTGCAATTTTTGATCGTAAATTTTACAAAAGGTTTGATTAAAAGGCGCAGCCAAGCGAGCTATCTTCAGTAGAGGACGTTTATTTGCGTCGTATATGAGGCAACTCTTTCCGAGAAGCAGCAGTTTTTATAGCAACCTGGGTACAAAGCCACAGGCCTTTGTAGCCCCTATCCTCTATCGATATTTTTCGGCGGCAAAAAGCGGAGAACGAGACACTCGTTTTGACTTTGGATCTTCTTTTGTGTTTCAGAACGACACGATGCAAGTGGTGTGGCAATATCACGTCGAGGAGCCGGTATCAGCGGCCGGTATTTTACCTGATCACGGGGCAGTGCGAGGATCGAGACCGTTATACCTGGTGCAAAGAGACGCACAGCCCAGACGAAATTCGCGTAATCAGGAAACGGATCCGCCTCTGAAAATATGGGACATTCTGAACAAGCAGGTGAGTTGCTCTATTTTTAATTAACATTTAAATCCTTATATTCGCGAGATGTCCTGTGAGATAAAAATCACTCTGCGATACGACGAATATGATCCAGAGATTCTGTCAAGATGAATGCTTAATGAATGAAATTAACTAACGGAAGGAAATATTTCGTTTCACTCTTGATGTAATTAAAAGAGAGAAGGAAAGAGGTGAGAGAAAGAGAGCAGTTGGTGCACATTGCATTTATTATGATTTGCGTTATTACGACGGCACGTGACAAGAAACAAGAACAAAGTTAATATTCATCCCGACCGCGGAGAAATTCGCGAGTGCGAACAAAGACGATTAAAGAGTTTTAATTAGAGTTCACGAAAGTGGATCTGCCATCGGCGTTGTGATATTGGACTCGATTTGTGCGGAGGGCAGATTCAAGCCCGGTTTCATTTAAGTATTTAAGATAACTAAAGTTACTTTATTCAGCCTTCGCTGAAGAATCATCGTCAGCATTGTAACTCGTTATTAACTCAACATTAATTTTAAACCAAGAATATCTGGCTTCGTACTGAAGTTTTCTGAAAACTTGTAATGAAAGTAAAAAGATTCCATAAACTCTCTCTCTCTCTCTCTCTCTCTCTCTCTCTCTCTCTCTCTCTCTCTCTCCGGATTCTTGAAATGTTAAAAACTTAATAATTGGTAATACTCAACACTTGATTCTTTTAAGGCTGTATTACAAGTATTTTATAAGAAAATGAAAAAAAATTATGAAAAAAGTTACAGATTTTTTTACTGTATAATTTCAAAGTAATACAAAAAGTTTATATTAAATAATTTAGAACCCGAATAAAAAATTATTTTAATAAGAAGTTGATGTTTTACAAAAATAATTAAAATAAAATGAAAAAAATTTTTATTTAAACTATAAAAATGTGTATTGTTAAATATAAATATTGATCTTATTAAACTATTTCATATTTATACAAAAAGTATAAATTTTCAATTCCGATCGCTCTTTTTACCGTACGTCTGATAAATCTTTAAGCTTCGAAGATTGTAAAGAAATATCGATTATTTCACAAACCTAAACAGAGAAAGTTAAAAATATTCACGTACAAAACAGGGAGAGAAATTGGTTTCGCACGATCAGCGTTTTAATGTTTGTAGAGACGCGCGGCGAATCATTCGTTTATCCGGATCCTAGACGCAAACAAGCTTTTTCAAAGCTCTCTCGTCATACGGTTTTGTTTCCGTCATTCGTCGACACGTGTACCGGTCGGGCGTGCGTATGTACATCGCGTGCGTGAAATGAATGTTCGAACGAACGCATTTAGCTGGGTCCGCGCGCGACTGGATTTTTATCACGCAGCTGTATTAGAGAGAGAAAGAGAGAGAGAGAGAGAGAGGGATGGAGATGGAGAAAGAGAGAAGGCATTGTGTGCCGAATTTATGACGACATAAATCTTAACCGGGTCACATCCGGTAAAAACTATTCGTTCATTAGCGTCGCCGGGTCGTAGATTACGAGGTCGGTGCTATCGTCCAGAATCGGACAATGCTAATTCCACCGTCTGCCCCGCTGTTTATAGTTTATATCGAGACCGGAATCGGGCCACCCTTGCGTATTACGCTCGTTGGCCCGCGAAAAAGTGCAAGATCATTCGCTGGACGTGCTGATAAACGACCCGGAAATGTTGACCATGTAATATCGTTTGAGACAAGCAAGCGCCTAGCACGAAATGTATTCGCTCGTAAATACATTTCCAGTTTGTCGAATTTTGCTATTTTTCGCGAGATTTTTGTGCCCGTTCGCGTTACCGAGACTTCGTTACAATCGCTGTGGTGGAATAATCGAGATAACAGGTCTGTACTTTTTAGCTACATTTGTACGTTACTTTTCGTCTTCTTTCCCTGTTCCAAGGAACAGCATATGTTTCTTTTACTTTAGCTGCAAACAATGTAAAGAGAACTAAAGTAACTGAAAGCAACTTATGTATTAATTACAGGGGAATATTATTTCGTATTTTAGATATATTTAAATATAATGCTTGTGAATGAATTGAGAATATTTTCTAGGTTACAGAAAATAATAGATGAAATCCCAATGAAACGTAAAGTATTCAAAGTACTTAGCTTGCTCATTCGCTCGAAATTTTTCTTCAAAATTATTTAATTATGATTATTTATCCCATTTCCAATTTTAGTGTCAAAATACTGAAATATCCCTCCTAAGATATTTTTCAACTTTTTAAAATTATTGATATGTTTTGGCATTGATGTTTTTAGGATATCACTGGCGTTATATTTCTGTATTTCGACCTGCATTCATTTTTCGAATATCGCGAGAAAGTTCGCTCTTAACTTAGTACGCAAAAGTTACCGAACGGTCGAGTAACTTTTGTATCGCGCCACGATGAATATGAATAGAAGAATAGGCACAGAAGAAGACGAGGCTGATGAGAAATGAATTTACATTGCGCCACTCTTAAAATTCTACGATATTCTACTGTTTATTAGAAGGATTGTTACTGGTTCGTTAATTTTTATATTCTCGCCGTACATTTGCGAATACCATCGTGTTTCCGTTATAACTTTTTGATGAAACATGTTGAATTTATTTTAACAAATTTAGAATTAGAAATCAAACATGTACGTGATTATCACAGTTATTTTATTATTGACTCATCGCAATAAATTATTCGCAGATTTAAGGTTCTTAATATTAGATTATTAATATTCTTATAAAGACGTGCATAAAAAATTATTAAGTCAGTTCTTATTACCTATGATTGTATTTCAAAAAGATTTCGACGCACGGTTTGCAGAATGAGATATGTATATAAAGTCCTACAGAAATATTTAAGCAGATCCGCCCCAAGCAGAACCACGAGTCATTATGATATCAAAATAATCTCAAAATGACTCCAAAATGATCATTAGTTATTTTTCAAAAGTCGTTTTTCAATCATTTCCGATTCATTTTAATGTCATTTTGACATTATTGTGACTTGTTCTACTTGGGGCTTTAACCGAACACTACTGAGAGAAACAATTTTGTTATAGGAACAAATCGAGGGAAAACAAATGTGATATTTGTTAAAAACGATCGATTAGTTACTATTGCAAATTAATTATTACTCATTCGTCAATGTAATAAATAATCAATAGTATCGTTTGTAAATAAGAGGCTCATATATATATATATATATATATATATGTATATATACATACATACATACACATATATTTTGAAACTTTAACACGGAACGTTGAAAGAACGTTGCTGAGACGTTGCATTATTAAATGTTGACATATAAATGTTTTTTCAACGCTGAAAATCTCCGTTTTATCATCCCTGTATCATATAAAAAAAAGTAGGTACATTTTACACTTTTCAAAAAAGATGATGATTTGGGGTCTATAGAAGGAAACGGTATATTTTTTGCGTAAAATGTAACTATTCAATAAAATAAAATTTCTATAGAACGTAATTTTTATTGACAATCCCTATTAATATAATTTTTTAATATAAAACATTAATTCATGCTTAAAATTTTTTAATTTTAACACAAAGATAAAATTAAAGGAAGAAATTAAAAGCTTCGTTAATATAACGTATATATAAATGCGTTTCTGCAACGAATGTGTATAAGAGATAACTAGAGAAGAGGATCATAAAGTCGTCTGTTTTACCGATTAAATCCTATATTGTTTGTAGATTGATATTGAACATATTATTATTTTTACAGATATGGAAATTCCTTTTCAGAATCAAAGTATAGAACGCAGTAATACTAATCTATAGTGTGGAATTTATGTCATGAACGACAAAAATTTTTGAAATTAAAATCTTTTTTATCATTTCATAGTTTAATTTATATTGATCATCGTCTAGAATTGTCAAGTTGTGACAACATTTGTTTAATGTATATATAAGCTCTGCAGTCTGTATTTACAAAGTTGAAAGTTAACTAGTAGAATATACAGAAAAATATTGAGTTCTTAGAATTAAATTTATACATCTAATTCTATACGATATCGTTTTACGAAAATTTATGTGTATGCATGCGTGACATATTGATATAGCAGTATGTATCTAGTAATGTGTCGATGATATTAACTCGTATGTGTGCAAGTGTTATTGAATCGGTAAAACAAGTATTTGCAGATCGATCTTTATTTTAGAATCCCCCTAAAGTTTATATCAGACTACTGACTTTACAGGCCTGTTCAATTGCCTACTCTGATTATCGATCCATAATGAACCAATCACAGTCAGTCAACCTTGTTAATTGTAATTAGGTCATTATAGTTGGTAGTCAGATTTGATAGTCGAGTTTGCCTGCAGAATCGGTAGTCTGATACGGGCTTAAAGTTTTTTAATTTCTGTTATCTTTACAAAATCTTTGTATATATGTATAAAATATTTATATATTTATATATATTTATATTAATAAATATAAAATTTTATAATGGAATTTGGCCTCGTTTCATACTTCAGTTAACGGTTTTTTTTTTGTTTTCCTTGCAATAATTGCAAAACTATAAGCAATCAAACTGTTTGAAAAATTAATAAAATTATATTGAACCATTAATAATTTTTTAACGGAATCGGCAATCAGTCTATTTCTCTTCTCAATCCAATAAGCGTTTATGAGGCTGAAGCTTTCCACATTATAGTTATGGTTTGGGATTGCAAAAAGTAAAGAACATATCTTCAAGATTTCGAAGTTCAAATGTTTATTCACAGTAATCTATCTATTTGTTTGATATTTTCTTTGATAATTCCGTATTCGCGTCCATGCATTCCAAAAATATCCAAAAGATAGATTAGATTCTACATAGTTTGCTTCTGTTACTAATAATTAGTTGGTATAAAAGACTAGCAGTAATCACAACAAACCAATTTGTTGTCACATATTTACAGATCACTTGTAAAATTAACAAAATCCTTTCTCTCTGTAAATACAGGATTTTTCTTATTTAATTATAGATTGACTCATGGAAGTTTCGGTATTTTATTTTCGAACACTTTACGTCACTTTGTGAATGTCAACGAAGAAAGATTATTTCGGAATGACGGAGACAGTTCGATGCCTGTCGGCGTAGAAATCGGAAATGCGTTCGCGTGGTCCCTAAAAATTTCTCCGTCTCGCCCCGGGGCGTCAGTCAACGTGCTCGACCGCAAAACAATAAACGCGCTCGTCCTTCCCGGTAATCTCGACATCGATAATTTCGCATAAGCGCGTGGGAGAATCCGCCGGCGTGGTTGGAGCGCTCAGGGCCAGGAGTCGATCGTCGCTCGTCGGAAGGGAGAGAGATGCGCGAAAAAGAGAATTGTAATTTTCTCGGACGGTGTACGGTCGTCCATACGCCCCGCGGCGAACAGTTTGAAACGATCCACCAGCACCCAGCCTTTCCCCATACTCCTCTTGGGTCTCCGTATTTACCGAGATACATGGTAACACCGAGCGTGGTTCCATTGATGCGCAAAATCTCGTACTCCGTGAGTAATTCGGTGGAATCTGACTTGTAGATAGGAGATACATACAAGACAAGTAGTACAACTAACACTGGTATGTATCATTCTTATCCTGTCGCGAAGCGAGAAGCGTATAATTAACCAAATCAGTTGCAAAACCGTACAACTTGTATAATTAGTTGTAATAAGGGTATGATGGTGTATCATTGACAAACAAGTAAAATAAATACGCTGAATAAAATACTAAATTTTAACGTTTTTTCAATACTATTCAAAGAAATTAAGATTTAGTAAGTTTTTTCATTGTAAGCGGACATATATTTTAATTCTAAACTAAAATAAATTCAACATGTTTCAACAAAAATTTATAACAGAAATAATATTCGTAAATGCGTGGTGAGAATGTCAAAATTAATGAAACAGTGGCACTCTCGCTCTAATAAACAGTAGAATATCGCAGAATCTGAAAAATGGCGCAAGCAAGTTTGCTACATCGTATTCGTATGAAACCTATGTATATTCGACTTGCGCCGGAGAAATTTTTATAAACGAAATATTTTTCATCTCACCATTTATAAATCTTCTACTCTACATGTCGAAATAATCGAGGTACATCGGTGTACAATACAGCCGGATATAGCTAAGTGGTGTCTACAATATTGCGAAGTACCATTTTGAACAATATGTGTTCGCACGTAACAATACAGCCTGTGTATATCGAGCGAAACACGTAAAACAAGTAACGCAACTAACGCCAGTACATGCAGTTCTTATTCTGTTATACGTGCCGAAAAACTCGCAACACGTTCGTGCACAATGCAACCGGCCGTGCATGAGAACTGTGCAAAATAGTCGCGTGGCGTGGAAGGCGCCGCTTTGAGACAGGGCGAAATGGGCTCGTATATCACAAAAGCAACTTGCAACCTTGTTACGTAAGTCGCACGCGGCGTCGGAAAATATGGTAATGAATTTCTCGTATATATTTGCGTTTAACTGCTCTTACTTCGTTGTAACAAACCATTAACCTGACGTATGCATCAAGTAGTTAAGTCCCTCGAATTTTCCCCTTTTATACTTCTTACTATTCATCCCAATAGAAACGTTCTTTGTATCTATTAAGTGACGATTACTTTTAAAAGAGAGATGAAATGTAATATATTTTCGAAACAATGAAATTATGATCCGATAGGATAAACATTTATGGCATAAATATATTTTTCCAATAATCTGTTTGATGTTTTACGCTTTGATTGTATCTGATAATAACCATATATAAAATATCATTTACATTTAAATAACACATTTTGTAATAATATTTTTATTTTATTTTGCGATTACTCTTAATTAAAAATTTTACAGTGATTTTGTTATTGAAACTTAGTATTGAAAATTTATAGAGAAAATTCTAATTTTTTTAATAGAAATAATTATTTGAAGCTAAAAATAAAGGTGCATATAATATTTGCATATTTCTCCAACTTTGCTTATACTTTTTATATTTTACTATATAGGTAATGCATCCTTACTTCAATTTCAATTTATTCTCTGACACTGAAAATTGACGAGCATTATCTAAAAACATGTTATCTCTACACTCACATTAGGCCTGCTCTTTTTAGCTGAACTTTTGCACCGGTTCATCCTTCTTCCTCTTCTTTCCTCCTGAAGAGAAAAGAAAGAAAGATGAACTGGTGCAAAAGTTCAGCCAAAAAAAGAACAGGCCTATTAAAAAACAAAAGTTCAAGGCTGAGGGACAAATTGCTTCTTAATATGTTTACAACCATTTGAAATGTTGCTTGCAACGAACTAATCAACTATTATAAACGTAATGTTAATCATTTGATATCGATCAATTTATCATTGAATAATTACTGACGAAGGACCTGTGTGTTCCGAAACGTTCATTAATTCTATTTGCTTTTCCTATAATAAATTGATGAGATATTGTTAACTTTGTTTTGCTCGATTATAGACCGTTTCTTTGTGTATTTGCTTTGCAAAAAAACGAGCGATTTGAATATTACACTTTACAGTTTAATTGTTTCAAAATGTATGAATTTCTAGTACAAATACAGTTGCGTATATATGAGAATCAAATTTTCCTCCTGATAAAGTGGTACATTGATACTTCTCCGTGACATCGATGCTGATACGAAGTATCAATGGTCCCAATGTACCAGCTCTATCCGTTAGTTTCTCATGGAATTATACTCGCTTAACGAAGTACCATTCGAATTGCTGTGCAGGTTCGTTTACCCATGGGGCAAGACACGCTGCTCTGGTGCCGTGTCCTGAGGATGCCGAGCATTAATCAGAAACACCACGTCGTGAAGGTGAGTTCCTCCAGGTATATAACCCGTTTACGGTAGCTCGCGCGCGCCCGCTCTCCGACTTGATTAAAGCGAAGGTGGATGCTCTTGTAATGCCGAAGAAACGGCACGTCGAGTTTACCGACTCGCCCCTCCTATCTCCCTTCCGTCTCACCCTCTCCTCCCTATACGGGAGTTATCTTCTGCCTCGCGTGTTTTCGCGTCTGAAGATGCAACATCTTCAGGTAGCCGCCCGATAAATATGCCGCGCAAAATGATAATCTAGAAGTTACAGTGTTTTGTTACCGAGTGTTTAATCCTAGTCAACGGTTTCTTTCAGAAATATCCTGATGTACTGCTGGAAAGTACTACTAAAAACAATGCTTTTAATTCACAATCTCGCTTCTCTTTTGGTAGTCTCTTAAATAATAATCTTGACATTATATAAAATTTTAAAAACATTAAATTATTTTATATTTTTGTCTTTTTAATACATTTAGATTTTTCTTGTGTCCTGATCAAGAATACATTTTGATTGTTTCAAGAAGTTTTATTATTCTTATAGTTATATACATGTATTTAAAATACGTACAATTACTTTTTATGGCAAACATAAAAAAATACTCGCGTGCTTATTGCTCGCTTGATTAGAAAAAGATCTTCAATTTGCGTGCCGAATGCAAGTCGATCGATCAATTCGGCTATGAAACTTCATCATAAATGAACGAATGGGCGGATCTGTACGATGGCAGGATCAATGCGGTAGGCGAGATCATTTCGCCGTTCCGGCCGCCGGTTTTCACTACCAACGATGACAGATCGATGCACGAGATGTCATCGATAAATGCGACAGTGACAAAGCATGCGGTCATAAACCTTGTATTACTGCCGGGTATCGATTCACGTTAGTATAAAGTTTCATTTTGATGCAGAGAGACGCGCACGATTCTCCAAATCGCGTGTTGAAAATCGAAGTTGGACTAGCAGTAAAGCGCAAGGCAGGCAGTAAAAGTTTGCATATCTATGCTTTCGCGAATTCAACGCGATATTTTATTGTCAACGGAATCTATTACGTTAATGTTATCCAATCTATTGTTATATATATACTGTTTACGCAATCAAAACTACAGTGAATGGAAATCCTATTATTACCGACTTTATTATACTTTTATATATTAGATATTAATTCAAAGTTGTTAATTTTTATTGTCTAAAATGAATCACAGAATGTCCCAAATAATACCTTGTACATTAATAGACATCGTACAAATAGAATATAGATCGATAGATATGTGAAGGAATGAAAATTTACTTCTGTCTATATTCGGGAGAAATTGGTTTTAAACCGAAGGAAATTACATAATTTAAAAAGGTACTGTAATATTTGAAGTTTTCGATATGAAAGATCGAGTAAATGTTATCTCTTTGCTATAAATTCTAGAATTTATGTATATTCGCCTATTTTTACTAGACTTTCTATTTGGCGTGAATTTTATGCTAGTGAATAATTTGAACAAGATATTTTCTCAAGTAATTCACGTTTAACGCTTCTCGAGTTATATTCTTCCTCTCTCGCAAAGCATATGATAACTCAATAAAATCTCACCTAGTTATATATTCTATTCTAATTTTATCCAGTTATTATTTAACTCGATATAACGTCCTAAACCGGAAAACTAGAATAAGCAAATGATAGATTATTATCACCGTGTTAGCTAATTTACAAAATTCCTTCTATATTTTACTTTTATATTTTTACACAAATAAAGAAAAATATATTCATTAAAGACGGATCTTGATGCCTAATAAAGGCTGTGTGAATTTCACAACTTCTTGTAAATTTAAGTGTATGAAAAATGACTTCAGTGTAAGTGTGTGATTAGTTTTCCATGTAAAAATAACACACTACATTGCATTCAAATATTAATTAAACGTGCAATATAGTGTCATTTTTATACGGAAAATAACACACATATTGAAGTTAATTTTACATATTTGGATTTGCAGTGAATTCAAGCAAACTACACGGGAAAAAAATGTTTCTGATCATAGCTAATTCTGATTAGCTAAAATTACATTAGTTACTATAGCTATAAAATTTGCTAATACAAAGGATTTGCTACTGTAACTAATATAAAGACGTGATAGCAAAATATGCTTGTCTGTTACAGTGAATTTATTTAGCAACATGAAGTTAATTGTTATAGTGATGTGTCCGTGTAAAAGAAAATTGTCTCTACCATAGCTGAATATAGTTTGCCGAAACTGTATTTGCTACCAAATTGTCTGCTATAGAAAACGTTTGCTGCAATGATCAATACATCGACATAATAGCAAAATGCTTGTCTGTTACAATAATAATATTTAGATATCACAGCTAATGGAAATTAGTCCGAATTAGACCTCATACGACGTTATGTGTCAATATAATACTACACTAAATTTAGCTGTGACAGCTGATCTTTTTTTCCCATGTACGATTACTTGCGGTCTTAAAATACATTTTTACTTAATATTGTCGGAATATTTCTATTTTATTTGCTACTGTATTCTATTTCTTATTCAGTCCTGTATTCTCGTTTCTACCTTATCGTATTTCAGCTCTTGCTGATGTTTATATCCGCACCGGTGTTTCCGAATAGGGTGTTGGCTCGGCTGGCTGATATAGTTCGCTCTATCTAGCGTCGGTCGACCGACCGACACCTGAATCTCGAACTCGATCGGACGTGACTCAACTACGCGATGCGATTGCTCTGTGTTCCTATCACGGGTACAGCGATAGGAGGGTGAAAGGGAGGGAGGGAGGAGAGACGATTAGCGTTTCGATTGCGATAACTTAAGCGCTTAAAACGCGGACACCCGCCTCCTCCTTCGCATTTTATGGAACTTTTATTGACGGAGCACCAAGGTATTCTGAGGTTAACGGTCGAGTGAACTGCCGTTAACTGTGGTATCAGTGGGCACCTTAATTTGTTACTCCTATTGAAAGGTAAACGTGCCGAAACAGCTCGTTTTCCCGACACAAGAAATACCGTATCGACCTGCGTCGGAGACTGCTTTTTGCCAATTTTGTGCTCAAACAGCTTTCCCCAAACTGTTAGAATCGACGCTTAAAGTGTAAAGTGCCTTCCTTTTTCTGTTACTGCTGATATTCCATTATCCATTCAATTCAATGAATCAATTCAATTCATTGACATCCGCTTTGTTTTAAATCGAAACGGCGAGTACATTAGTCATTAATCGGATTAATTGCCCGTAAAATGATGCGACACGAAAACTTTAGAAGAAATAAAGACTCTTGCAATTTTTTTTCCATTGACGGGATTAAGTTATAGGAATAAACGAGACAATCTCCACTTGAATCTCGCGGCTTCTTTAATCAATTCAGTGTCGATTCTACTGCGATAAAAGTGTCAAGGTATACGTTGTTCCTGAGTTATGAACACGTTACGAACACGACCGAAATGCGCTCGACATTAATCCTCGTTACGAGCTTGTACGCCTGTTGTATATTTCAGTATGAACCAGTTATTCAGCCGGGAAGCCACGAATACCTTCACCACATGACCCTGTACGAGTGCCGCGGAGATCAAGCCGAATTGGAAACCGCGGCCGAAACGACCGGGAGTGTCTGTTATGTTCCTGATAAACCCACATTCCAGTGCAACACGATTGCAGCCACTTGGAGTCTCGGTTCTGAGGTATGTCGAAAACTTCTCTTACGTTTATGCGCCGAAGACCTCGACGTGAAGCACTGAGGTGCTTCCATGCTCTGGCAAGTTTTCGATAGTCACAGAAACTATCTGCTGCACAAAATTTCAGAGATGCACGAAATATAAATTTTAAATTTCATTTATTTTCATTGAACATTACGCATTTTGTAACGATCATTAATTAAAATTCTTTAGTCATTTTGCCAATAATGGAATTATCCAGTTGTTTTATCGAAGTCTTCGATTCGGTGTCAGAGAATAAAATGGTTTAATAAATTATTTAATTGAGATATGTGGAAAGAATGGTTTTGTAAGTATTTATAATTTATTTCTGGAAATAATTTTATTTGGACCATCAAAATAATTATGTGGCTCAAACTGATTGCTAAAACGTTAACACTTTTTGCAGGTTGTTATCAACACTTAATCGTTTAATATAATTATTTTGATAATTCAACAAAATTATTTTCAGATTTTTGTAGGTAGTTAAATTTTTTAATACTAGAGCAAAAAGCTGTTCTTTTCGTACATAAGTTATTTCTTTTTAAAAAATGGAAATATATAAGCGGAATATATTAAATTCATTGTATCTTATTTGTTTCTCTATAACTTTGATCATCGGAAGTATCCATTGACCCTTCACTATGTAAACTTGACTTTTCGTGAAGTATTGCACGTGATCGTGCAAAGCACGTCCGGAGTTTCGTGATAATTCCGAGTGCGGTGTAATGTATACCAATGTGAGAACATGAATACCGCAAACTTGTTTCTTCGTGGTTATTGGTAATACGAACGTCCTGTGAAATTGCAACCAATCGTAAAACGTGTTGTCTTATATATATATA